ATGTTTTCTAATCTAGTAAATGCTTCTTCATATGAAGTTGCTTCAGCATTGTTAATCCTTAAATCTTTAAAATAGTCTTCTTGTTCATATCTTCCAGTTGGTATTTTCTTTTTGAGGTCTGCTCATCCTTCTCCTCCAAATGTTTGTATGATGCCTGCTTCAGTTCTCATCATATAATAGTTTTGTTTAAATATTCTAAATTCTGTAATGTCAGCATAGTTTGGTTTGAATACTAATGTTGCGAAATCTTTTTGAGCATAAGCTTGTGCTTCAGCACTTATATATCTATGGTGCATCTATAGAAAGAATGAGCATTGTCTTAAGGGATTTTGTGGAGTGTGGTCTACATAGTCACAGACAAGAGGTCCTTGTCCAGGTTTTCTGTTATTAATTGTATCAGTATAGTTTATATTTGATGCTATATCAAGTTCTCGGACTTTCTTAACTTGTCTTTTGATTGATTCCCAATCAAAAGCAGGTGTCCTTCCTCCATTTCCTTGAGCCCAGTCACATGGAAATAAGCAAATAAAATGATCCCTTATTTTATTATATTCTTGTTGGTATAATTCTTCGAATGTTTGTGCAACTAATAGGTTAATTAATTGTCTTGACCATACTACATTAAATGCTCCTTCAAATCTTTCATTAGCAGCAAGGTTGTCACGTATTGTGTTCATAATATCAATTCTGGTATATCCGTAATTCATGTCTCCAGTAAAGAATCCTAATGTCAATAGTGATTCATTGATAAATTGAGGGATGTTATCCATAAATACTTTAAAGAATTTATTCCAATTTCTTCTATTGAATCTTATTCTTTTCATTACATCTCTTGCAAAGTTAATTTGAGCTAATTCTGGAAATCTGGTTTGTCTTGGTACAATAGCTGGTGCAGTTGCAGTTGGTGGTGTTCCAGTTGAGCTTCTTCCTGTTACTGACATAGTTTTTATATTTTGTTTAAGTCTTCGTCAGGAAATTTAATAGGTATTTCTCCTGCATATGTGCAATATCTTATATAGTCAGGTATTGTTTGGTTTAATATTTCAAATATCCAGTCCAAATATTCTATATTTTTAAGTTGGTGTGCGAGTATTAAAGTTACTACTTGTTTTTCTTTTGTTAAAGTTGTCAGGTCTTGGTGGTAATATTGTTTGATTCGTTCTATTAGTTGTATATTAGCAGTATATGTTGTTCTGTCTACTATTGTGTTTCCTGGTATTTCTTTATTAAAGATTCTTCTGAATGAGTTGTAGAATATTTTATTTCATTCGAAATGATTCCAGCTAAAAGGGTATTTTCTGTTTAAAGCTTTACTTATCATTCACTTGGTATTTCTGTTTGGTGAATGCAATTGTTGTTTGTAGGTTTAGATTGAATTTAGTAGAGATTTCTTTAAGTTCTTCTTGAGGGTCTTGTTTTCTGATACAAAGGATTAAATATGTTTTCTTTTCGTCATGGCTTAGTGTTAATAGTTTGTTTCTTTTAATTACTAATTTGATGCGTTTGTAGTATATTTCTTCTGTATTATTTAATAGTAAGTATTTTACTTTGTCTCTCTGTTGTAGGCGTTTATCTATTTCATTTAGATCCTTATTCAATTCTTTTCAATTTATTGTATAGTTATTATTTAATATTTTTTTTGATAGGTCTGTTGTCATTTAGTCTTCTAAGTGTTCATGCTATGAAGTGCACGAATATAGTATAGGTTATTAGATAGTAAATAATGTATCTAATCATTGTCTCAAATAATTGAATTATATTCTGGTCCAGGGTAATGAGTATTAAAAAGTTTTGAGTCATCTACTAAAATGTTGCGTTGGATATTATTGGTAATATGCCTATGTCATTTATAATGTTCTCCACTTTGTTAGATTGGTTTTGTAACGTCAGTTATTGTTTCAAGCAGTTGATCTGCATGTTTTCTTTTATTTTGATGTTCTCTTTCTATTTTTAAAAGGTTTCTTCTTCAGTTGAAGAATACAAATAATAGTATTGCTGCTATTACTACTATTATTGATACTATATCTTGAGTAATTACGTTGTTGTCTTGAAAGTATCCTGATGTTAAGGTTTGTACTGTTGTTGAGCTTGCTGTTACTGTTAATGTTGTTGCTGTTGTTTGGATTAAAGTTACTGTTGGTGTTGGTATTGAGATTGTTGAGAATATTATTTGTTGTCTTGCGTATAATTGTTCTTCTTGCATTAAATATAATTTAAATAGGTCAGTATATTTGTTCTTTTTGGTACTATAGGTACTCTTTGATTATGACTTCTAAGGTCTGTTATAGAATGGTTTGGATGTAAGGTCAGATGTCTTGTATTTTCGTATCTTCCATAGTTTTCTGAGTCTCTTAGTAATCCTGTAGTGTTGTTAAATCTTTGTTCAAAGTCTTGTAGGTTTTGGAAATATTTTGGGTTTTGATTGTGTCTTTTAGGTACTCTTTTCTTTCTGAAAAGTTTATTAAAGAAGTTGGTCATTCAATAATTCAAGGGTACTAGTGGTATTTGGTTATGGTCGCCTCGTTTGTTTATTCTTTGTCTTCTAATGAGTTCGTAAATTACGAGTATAACTAGTCCTGTAATAATGGTTCCTACTATGATTGTTACTATTACGAGTATTGTTTGATCAGATGGTGTTGGAAGAGTCATATGTTTTTAAAGTATTTTGCAAGTTGAATCTCTGTATTGAGCATTGTATCCTAATAATGGATTATCTCAATAGTTCCTCTTTTTATATCTTTGGTTGTGACAGCAAACGCATATTATTGTTAGTAAATAGAATAATGTTAGTATTATAATAGTTAATATTAAATAAAGATTAATTTGATTAGTATTGTCACAGTTATTGTTTGTACTGTTAATTGTTAAAGTGGTTTGTTGAATATTAATTGTTGTGGTTGACATTGTTAGGGTCTATTCCAAGTTGAGTCTGTTGCGTAGTCAGATGTTTCGTATCCATCTGCAGTGAAATAATTATATCTTTGTCCTGGCTGTGTTGATATTCCTGTGCCTACTACTTGTGGGCATCTTTTTTGTTTAGGTCTTCCTTTTTCTTTGTTTAAATATCTTTGTTGTAATTGTTTTGCTAAGTCTGAGACTTGTGTTGTTGAAGTAATTGTTGCTAATTTGAATATGGTCCAGGTATTATATTTGCGGCAAGTGGTAACATTGGTTGTGCTATGTCACGTGGTAATTGTTTATTCCTTTTATTCTTTTTGATTCTTCTTATACAATAGAGTATTGTTACTAATACGGTTGTTACAAATGTAAATACTGCACTTAATATTTCAATAATTAAGATATTGTTATTTGAACTATTCTGATTCGTAGTCTGTGTTTGTATAACAACTTTGATTGTGTTGGAAGGTTTATCTACTGCATTAGGTATTGTATTGACTATTGTTGGTATTGAACTTGTTGTAGTAGTCTGAATTGTTGTTATAGGAAATATTGTTATTGGTATTACTTGATCTGATAATGGTTTGGCATTAGCATAATGTAAATATTGTTGTTTTCAATTGTTTTCAGTTTTATCGCGTAGGCGTTTGTTTTGTTTTCTGATATGATTTAAAAATAGGTCTTGTATTATTGTGATGAAGGCTATTATAATTAAAGTTCTAATTATATTCTTTCAAAATAATATGTGTAATTTCATTGTAAGGTCGCATATCTTCTTATTGTTCTTATTAAATATCAAATTTTTGGTGTAATATAATGGGATAATGTCGTATTATACACTTTTTACTGTTAAATTTCACTTGAGGTGATCAGTCTCTTGTTGGATTCGAGTAAGAATATTATCTCAGCTTATTTATTTAATAATTTTGAAGACGTCAAAGTTTTTACGTTATTTAATTCAGTTTATTTAATATAATATGTTTATAATTTAATACAAATATAATATAAGTTATAGCTAATATATTTAGGGTACATTAGTGTTAATGATTTATATGTTCCTTTGGGTTTGTATATGTTATTTGATATAGTTGTTCTACAACTATTAAAAATGTAAGTATTATTTCTAATAATATTATATATATGATTAAATATAAGTGGTATAGTCGAAGATACATGAATCGCAATTATTATTTTTCAAGATAAGGTGGTAGTTAAAATATAAAAATATAAATTGAAATTCTAATATACGAAGTTCTAGCTAAGTAAAATTGAATAGTTTAAATATGTTTTATTATTATACATTTTCGAATAATATAAAATTAAGCTATTGTAATAAAATAGACTATTGTATCTAACTATTGTTTAATAAATTATATTCCCAAGCTAATTTGTAAATTTTGTTTTTCGCGTATTATTTAGTGTTATGATAGTTAATCTGTAGTATTATTTATTTGGTTGTACGGTGTTCGGTAATTTCTTTAGTTCAGGTGATTTGATAATCAACGATACATTTTCTGGGCACTGTAATCTATCATTGAGCCCAAAAAAAGAAATATATAAAAAGTTTTAGGACTCCAAAATAAACAAAATTCCTTTTTGAAGCTATCTATCTTTAAAAAGTTATTATTATGCTAGCTTCTCTAAGACAAAAAAGAATTTTGATTATTTTTAATAGTGAAGTCCTACAACCTTAATAAAACTTTCTATATATTTTTTTTTTGTTTATTTTTCATAGTTTTATTTTTTTTAAAAAGTACTTTAAACTGTATAAATAATGTAAAATTAAATTGGTTTAAACCAGTGCACAAAATCTACTGTAAAATACCGGAGATTCTGATAATTAAAAAAAATTCTGGCATAATTTTTTGATTATCAGAAATTTTCTGTTACTTATGCAATTTTTGAATTTGTAAATTTAATATAATAGACTATTAACTATTAATAAAATATTATGCAAATAATGTGTAATTTGTATATTAATATATAAATATTTATATATTTATGAATTTAAATAAAATTTTTTTTTCAAATTAATAAATCAAAGCAAAAGTATCCAAAATGATCAAAGTATTTATAACTGTGAAAATGAAATTTTTTACGAAATGGATCAAAATGAATGTATCCAAAATGATCAAAGTATTTGTAATAACTGTGAAAGCGATCATGAAAATGATGCAAATGATCAAAGTGATCAAGAACTAGCATTATCTAATAATAAAAAAAAGTCCAAGATTATCACAAAGTCTAAGTCTAGTTTTAAAAGTTCTTGGCTTAATGATTTTAAATGGCTTCAATATGATAAGGTTTCTTAGTGAATGTTTTGTAAATATTGTAAATGGCACAAAAAACAAAATGTTTTTGGAAATACAGGTAAACAAATATAAAAATACTTATTATTAAACTTATACTGTATAATATTTAATATGTTAAATTTTTTTGTAGGATCTATAAATTTTGGTTACAAAAGTTCTGTTAAAGAACATGCTTTTTCAGATCAACATATTGATGTGATAAAACTTAATAATGCTGAGAAAACAATAGATAAAGAATCAGGACAACTTATATAACAATGTACAAATCATATAATTGGAGTTATGAAAATTGTATATACTCTTATAAAACAAGATATACCACTAGCTAAGCTTCTATATTTTGTTTAAATGTCTTGTGAATTGGAATCATCATTTATTATAGATAGTTCAATTACTTATGAAAATGAAGTATCTGGTTGTGAATTTGCATTTGCTATATCAAATATAATTAAGACTGAAATATGGGAAGAAATTTGTAAATCTGTATTTTTTGGAATTATAATTGATGAGAGTACAGATATTTCTACAAACAAACATATTGATATTTATATAATGTATCCAAATATTTCTGGAAATATAAA